TTATGGTTCCTTCTTTAATAGGTATTATTTTCTTACTTTTGCTGGACATCAGCTATTTGGAACCACTCTGTATTTGTCTCCCCCACCCTGATCTTCTCTGGAGACCCACAGCCTTCCCTAAGAGTCCCACAGAACACCACACAGCATCTAGGGGTAGAAGGCAGAGCCTTTGCCTCAGGGCTAAACTGATCCAGATACTCACACTCTTCTGTATGAAATAACTGATTTAGAGAAGAGAATCTGATCCAAGTTGGTCCAGACATTTTTTTGGGCCATGGTGGGGCAAGGTACTTGGAGCCCATGTGAAGGATGGAGCCCTCAGAGCTGCTAGCAACCAGCTGGAGACTCCAGGGGATGCCTGTCTGAGGACTGGGCCAAGACAGCGGCAGCAGAGTTGGAATCTGGATCCTGAGCACACAGCGTAAGGCCTGGACTACTCACCTACAGAAGCCAAACTTGCCACCCAGCCTCTCTCCCCAGGACCCAAGGAAGTTGAGGCTGGATCTGGCTCTGTCACCAAACTGGATTGCAGTGGCACAATCAATCTCAGCTCATCGTAACCTCCACCTCCTAGGTTCAAGTGATTCTTCTGCCTAAGCCTCTGGAGTAGCTAGGACTACAGGCATGTACCACCATGCTTGGCTAACTTTTTCCTATTTTTAGTAGAGATGAGGTTTCACCATGTTAACCAGGATGGTCTTGATCTCCTGACCTCAAGATCCACCCACATTTGCCTCCCAAAGTGATGGCATTATAGGCATGAGCCACCACGCCCAGCCTTCTTTTCTTTTTGAAACAGAGTGATATGGTTTGGCTGTGTCCTCACCCAAATTTCATCTCGAATTGTAACTGCCACAATTCCCATGTGTCATGGGAAGGACACAGTAGGAGGTAATTAAATTATGGGGGCGGGTCTTTCCTGTGCTGTGAGTGACAGTGAGTGATAGTGAATGAGCCTCACAAGATCTGATGGTTTTAAAGATGATAGTTCTCTGCACAAGCTCTCTCTTTGTCTCTTGCTATCCCTGTAAGACATCACTTGCTCCTCCTTGCCTTCTGCCATGATTGTGAGGCCTCCCCAGCCACATGGAACTATGAGCCCAATTAAACCTCTTTCTTTTGTAAATTGCCCAGTCTTGGCTATGTCTTTATCAGCAGTGTAAAAACAAACTAATACAGTAAATTGCTATCATAGAGTAGAGCATTGCTGAAGAGATACCTGAAAATGTGGAAGCAACTTTGGAACAGGGTATCCAGCAGAGGCTGAAACAGTTTGGAAGGCTCAGAAGAAGACAGGAAAGTGTGGGAAAGTTTGGAACTTCCTAGAGGTTTGTTGAATAGCTATGACAAAAATGTTGATAGTGATAGGAATGATAAGGTCCAGGCTGAGCTGGTCTTAGATGAAGATGAGGAACTTATTGGGAACCGGAATAAAGGTGACTCTTGTATTGTTTTAGCAAAGAGACTGGCAGCATTTTGCCCCTGCCCTAGAGACTTGTGGAACTTTGAACTTGAGGGAGTTGATTTAAGGTATCTGATGGAAAAAGGTTCTAAGCAGCAAAGCATTCAATAGGTGACTTGGGTTCTGTTAAAGGCATGAGTGAGTGAGTGAAGGAGTGAATGAATTCACTCATGGTAAATGAATCTCCTAATATCTGACGGTTTTAAAAATGGGAGTTCTCTGCACAAGCTCTCTCTTTGCCTGCTGCCATTCATGTAAAATGCAACCGCTCCTCCTTGCCTTCTGCCATGATTTTGAGGCCTCCTCTGCCATGTGGAACTGTGAGTCCAGTTATACCTTTCTTTTGTAAATGTCCCAGTCTCAGGCGTGTCTGTATCAGCAGCGTGAAAACAAACTAATACAGAGTCTTGCTCTGTCGTCTAAGCTGGAGTTCTCTGGTACAATCTCAGCTCACTGCAACTTCTGCCTTCCTGGTTCAAGCGAATTCTCCTGCCTCAGCCTCCTGAGTAGCTGGGACTACAGGTGCACACCACTATGCCCAGCTAATTTTTGTATTTTCAGTAGACAGGCAGGTTCACCATGTTGGGCAGGCTGGTCTTGAGCTCCTGGTTTCAAGTGATCGACCCACCTCAGTCTCCCAAAGTCCTGGGATAATAGGCCTGAGCCACCATACCCAGGAATTTTCTACCCTGAAAAATTCACTCCATTTAAAGAGTGAAAAACTACCTGGGAGATACAGTGCGTTGTCATTGGATTATGGCTGAGCCTTTGCACACTTTCCTTGGGCCGTTTTATTATATGACACCAGGAGCAGAATTTTCCAGAAAGCGATCTCCCACTCTGTTTGCAAAAGTTTAGACTCATTGGCTTAACAAGAGGAGACCAAAGTGTCTTTTGGAGTGAGGAAGCAGAAGTCCCTGAGGTTTGAGGTCAGGATGAAGGTGATGTCCAAGGATGCTAGCAAGAGTGAGAGGCATCCAGGCGTGATAAGCTCAAGCCTATAATCCCAACACTTTGGGAGACTGAGGCAGGTGAATCACTTGAGATCAGATGTTTGAAACCAGCCTGGGCAACAGTGAAACTCCATCTCTACTGAAAATACAAAAATTAGCTGGGTGTGGTGCCGGGCTTCTGTAGTCTCAGCCACTCAGGAGGCTGAGGCACAAGCATTGCCTGAACCCAAGAGGCAAAGGTTGCAGTGAGTTGAGATCATGCCATTGCACTCCAGCCTGGGCAACAGAGTGATACTCTCTCTTAAAAACAAAAGAGTGAGAGGCTGATGCCCCACTCACACCTAAGAGGTGGCCAGGCTCCTGAGACAATCCAGAGAGAAAGATGGCTCTCTTCATACAACTTAGGGAGTTTCTCTTTTTCCAAAAACCTCTTTTACACGCCCCAAATATGACTCAGCTTTCCAAAGTAACTAAGTTGTTTAAGCCGTGGTTCCAAAGCAAAAATGTCAGTCAGCCTTGGAGACAGGAATGATTTAAATCATGTCCCTTGCTGCACACACAAATTAAATTTTTGTTTGACAATGAGGTTGATTTTAAGGACTAGAGAGTCACTAAGATGGAAAGAAATTGTAGATGCCTTGGAAATTAGAGGGTTTCATAATAGGCAACTAATAGAAACAGTGCCTATCTCCCTTATGTGAACAAGAAGGTGAATAATCTAGAAAATATTTAATATAGAATCAATATGATTCATATTTTATTAACAAAGATATCAAAATGATCACAATTAAATTAACTAAATGGAAAGATATCTCATCTCGTAGTCTCTTATTACTTTATCCAGATAGGCCTTAAGGAGTTTCTGACCATTTCCTTTTTTTATTTTAGACAGAGTTTTGCTCGTTTCCCATGCTGGAATGCAATGGTGCGATCTTGGCTCACTGCAATCTCCACCTCCCGGGTTCAAGCAATTCTCCTGCATCAGCCTCCCAAGTAGCTGGGATTACAGACACACACCACCTCATCCAGCTAATTTTTTGTATTTTTAGTAGAGCTGGGGTTTCACCATGTTGGCCAGGCTTGTCTTTAACTCCTGATCTCAGGTGATCCACCCACCTCGACCTCTTAAAGGGCTGGGATTACAGGTGTGAGCCACCACACCTGGCCTCTGACCATTTCTTAAGGAGAGAAGCCACAGGATATTTTGCCGTGAACATCACATTCATCCCTCTGCCCACACATTTACACACATCCACGGGACTGCAGTGGCTGGCCACATGAACTTTGAAGATTAATAGACACTTCCTATCTTGGGCAAATAACTGACCTCCTGTACAGCTCAATTTTCTTAACTCCAAAATGGGAAAAATAGTAACTCCATAGGTTGTTATAAGTGTTTATTAAATAAAATTATCAATTTAAAATCTTAAGTATAGGGCATAATATGAACAATAGCTCCAATTGAGTTCTGGGCACTGTCTTAATTATGCAGTTTGTAAGTGTCAGGTCATTTACTATAAATCAATATGGGAGAGGAAGATGGTAATTCTGCCTTGCCTTTATTGTGCTGATGAAGAAACCTAGGCCCTTGGTCATACAGCTACTAAGTGGTCAGGCTCATATACCATGAAAGGCAACGCATGACAGCTGTCATGATTAAATACACACATGCTGCATTAGGTTTTCAAGGATGGTTACAAAGGAAGGCTTTAATTAAAAATTTTTTTTTTCAGAAAGGGTTCTATCTAATTTGGTGCGTGGTAAAATTTCACAGTAATGCAAGATGCTTAAAAATTAAGTCAATAGCACTGCTAATTTAACATCCCTAAACAAGCTCAGTCAACATAGCGAGACCCCATCTATAGAAATAAAATAAATTAGCCGGACATGGCAGCATGTGCCTGTAGTCCCAGCTAGTCAGGAGGCTAAGGCAGGAGGATCGCTTGAATCCAGAAGGTGGAGATCTCAGAAAGCTGTGATGGCACCACTGCACTGCAGTCTGGGCAACAGAGGAAGACTCCCATCTCTTAAAAATTAAAAAATGTACAATCAGGAGAAGGGAATTAAAAAATTAAAAAAATTAAACCATCTCTAAACATAAGTATGACTTCAAATTCCTTAGTCAGATGGGAAGAATTTATGACATTCCTGAGCTCAAAGGGTAAGCAAAGGATATGGGTACAGTTGATTGGCATTTACACGGCAAGCCTGAGAAAGGAGGCTGGTTCTTTATAAAGATTCTGATCTTTATAGTCGCATCCTGTCTGATTCTACTATAAAGTACTTGTGTCAGCTGCCAATTCCTGGAATCTGAACTTTCTTATCTGTCAGATGAGATTTTACGAGATCGGTGACTCTCCACCCTGTTACAGGTTATAATCATCCAAGTAGCTGTAAAAAAGTTTCCTAGGCCTGGATGCTCCCAGAGATTCCAATCAAACTGGCCTGGGGTGGGAATTTCTGAAAGCCCCTGAAAAACGTGGAAGTGCAACCGACTCTGGGAAGCACTAACTTAGGCCCTTTCTGATGTAAAATGACACAGCTCCATGAGCCGCTACACGATCACAAAGACAAAACAGAAATACCTGAAGCAGAATCTTGTTGCCATCGTAGTCCTGAGTCTGCCACCTGGTACTGCTGATGGGAATGCATGGGTTGGGTAGCAGAGGCACTAACTGGCCAATCTCTCGAACTTTAAACTGCAGCACCGAAGAATCTTTGGGGTCCACTGACATTCCTGGGGGCAGCTGCTTCAGGGAGAGCTGCAGAGCAAAGCTGTTGGTGGCATAGAGCACGAAGAAACAAAAATTGCTCTTTTGCAAGGTGGCTTCTCTCTGCAGGATCATCTCATAGAGTCTGATGGCATCCTCATAGTTATCAAAGCTGCAATAGAGCGTCACCCTTAGGATCTCAGAGCCACAGTGCACCTGCCTCACCCCCCAGATGGGCATCTGGCTGTCCAGGCTGTAGAACTCCTGATTGGCAAGAAGGTAGGGACACGGCCTTCCCCGAGTGTCCTGGGTGGGGTAGTACTGCCATGGCGAATGTTGGAGAGAGTCCAGGATGTGAAACAGCCGATCCTCTCCCAGGCTTTTGGGCAGAAAGAGCAAGACGGACATCCCTGGGAACCGGGACCGCTTGGAGTGGGACTTTTCACAGTATTTCACAGGACTGGCCCGTTCAGACACCTGAAAGAGCCGGACCTCTGGGCAAATGCAATCCAGGAGCTGGTCCAGAGTCGTCTGCAGAAGCGAACCGTGCCCAGAGTTGGCAAGAAGATGGACAGTCATGGCCAGAGGCCCCTGTGTCTCATCCATGGAGGAACTGCCTGGCGATGACAAAGATGGCATGCGAAGAAGTTAAACAGGCCACTGTTTAACTTCTGAAATGAATGAAGGAGCAGCCCAGCCTTCAGCCCACCCGAAAACCTTCAGCTGCAGCGGCTACTTCTGAGCAGAGCTCTTAACCAGACTGACATGTGCTCCTGGCCACCCACGGACTTGCCATAAGAGCAGCTCACACAAGCTCAAGTTCAGCAGCCTCCGCTCCACGCGGCAGCAGTGGGATCACATCATCCAGCTTGTGCATAAAGTAACCGCTTGTGTTTGGCTTTTCAGGCATTCCCCAGGGTTTCAGTGTGACCTCAAAACCTATAATCCTGAGAAACACCCAAGTGGGCGGCTCTTACAGACAGTGAGTAAAGGAAATGACCCGGCAAAAAGGAACAGGAGTTGGCTCTGTCAGGCTGATAGCAATCTGTTGAGTTGAAAAGACAGCCATTTTATCAGCACAACCGGCTCTCACTTCCTACTTAGGGTTTACAGTAGCCTGTGCAGCCAGTCTGAATACAATGATCTCTTGAAAACAATGCTCAAAACTTGACCTCTTGCCAAGGTTTTTTTCCTTTGTCTCTTTATTTCATTTTGTTTCTGAACATTTTATGCTAGGGCATGAAGAGAAGGTATTTTATCTCAATAATTTTGACTTCACTGAAACTTATTTGCTCTACTAACAATTCTGAGTGTACGAAAAAGACATTGAGAAAATAAGTCTTCCTTTATTCATGCAAAAAAAATTTTTTTTTTTTTTTTGAGACAGAGTTTTGCTCTTGTTGCCCAGGCTGGAGTGAAATGGCATGATCTTGGCTCACCACAACCTCTGGCTCCCGGGTACAAGGGATTCTCCTGCCTCAGCCTCCTGAGCAGCTGGGATTACAGGCATGCACCACCACCAGGTAATTTTGTATTTTTAGTAGAGACAAGGTTTCCCCATGTTGGCCAGGCTGGTCTTGAACTCCTGACCTCAGGTGATCTGCCCACCCCGGCCTCCCAAAGTGCTGGGATTATAGGCGTGAGCCACTGCACCCAGCTATTCATGTAAATTGTTTAGAAAGAGTGAGAGCTTTCCAATAATTGCTCATGTAATTGTAATAAATACTTAAGAATTATAATTTTTAGTGTCTATTGAGGATCTACTATGTACCAGTCATAAACTGTTCTAATTCTTAATGTAAACTTTTTTTTGGAGAAGGAGTCTCACTCTATCACCTAAACTGGAGTGCAGTGGCATGATCTTGGCTCACTGCAACCTCCAACTCGCAGGTTCAAGAGATCCTCTTGCCTCAGCCTCCCCAGTAACTGGGACTACAGATGTGCCATCACAACTGGCTAATTTTTGGTATTTTTAGTAGAGAATGGGTTTTGCCATGTTGGCCGGACTGGTCTCAAACTCCTGACCTCAAGGTGATCTGCCCGCCTTGGTCTCCCAAAGTGCTATGATTACAGGCGTGAGTCACCACACCCAGCCATATTAGTCCATATTTATATCGCTATAAGACATACCTAAGACTGGGTAATTTATAAAGAAAAAGAGATTTAATGGACTCACAGTTCCACGTGGCTGGGATTACAGGCATGAGTCACTGAGCCTAGCCCTTAATGTAAATTAATTTAATCTTGCAATAAACCTATGAAGAAGAGATTACTAGCCCCAAATTATTGATGAAGAAACTGGAGCATAGAAAGGCTAAGTAACTTGCCCAAGTTCTCACAGCTAAGAAGTAGCTGAGGGAAGATTTGAACCCAGAAATTTGCTGCACTGCCTCTCTGGGGCCTTGAAATCCCAGCCTGGGTTTTCTTCCTTCTTGTAAGGAAAAGATACAAAAGCAAGTTCTGGTTAAGGACCTAGATTTGGAGACTGGAGCTGTTGAACCATAAATGGAATAATCTTCAGTGAGAATGCTCTCAAGCTCTAAACAACACTCACCCTAATGTGTTCTAAATATTGATTTAAAAATTGTTTGTGGCCAGGCACAGTGGCTCACGCCTCTAATCCCAGCACCTTGGGAGGCCAAGGCAGGCAGATCACCTGAGGTCAGGAGTTCGAGAACAGCCTGGCCAACGTGGCAAAACGCCATCTCTACAAAAAACACAAAAATTAGCTGGGTTTGGTGGCACACACCTATAGTCCCAGCTACTCAGGAGGCTGAGGCACAAGAATTGGTTGACAGGAGGTAGAGGTTGCACTTCGCACTATTGCACTCTAGCTTGGGCAGTAGAGTGAGACTCCATCTCAGAAAATAATAAGTAATAAATAAAAATAAATAAATAATTAAAAAAATTTTTTTTGAGACAGAGTTTTGCTCTTATTACCCAGGCTGGAGTGCAATGGCGCAATCTTGGCTCACTTCAACCTCTGCCTCCTGGGTTCAGGCAATTCTCCTGCCTCAGCCTCCTGAGCAGCTGGGATTACAGGCACACGCCACCATGCCCAGCTAATTTTTTGTATTTTTAGTAGAGACGGGGTTTCACCATGTTGACCAGGATGGTCTCGACCTCTTGACCTCGTGATCCACCCGCCTCGGCCTCCTGATAGCTGTGCTCCTCAAAGGATATTAACAAGCCCTTTCTCTAAACATAATTCTTCTTAAAAGAAACAATTGGACCAGGTGAAGTGGCTCACAACTGTAATTTCAGCACTTTGGGAGGCCAAAACAGAACCATTGCTTGAGCCCAGGAGTTCTAGGCTGCACTGAGCTAAGTTCACGCCACTGCACTCCAGCCTGATCAACAGAGCAAGACCCTATCTCAAAAAAAAAAAAAAAAGTTTTTTTAAAAAGGGCTGTAAAAAATTAAAATAAAAGGCAATTTATGAATCCTTCTAATAGAACACAGTGTGACAATTTTTTATGTTAAAAAACACTTTTGTGATGAAAAATATAACAACCTTTATATATCTGGATTCCTTTAATAGAATAATAACCTAATTTAAAGTTAAATATTATTATCCAAGAAAATGCATTATTTCTATTCAGATTCACTACCTAAGTCTAACCTCCAATTCTAATCATTTGTGTTTCATAATTCCTATACTTTTTGCATGGGAAAAATATATAAATACAATTTATAACAGATGAACTGTGTTTTTGTTACTGTGAACAACTCAGTAATTAAATTCATCTTGTTTCAACTTTTCAAAAAATCATTAGAGTTTTTTTTTTTTGCATTAAAGCTCTCAAGCATTTTTAAGAAAACAACAGAATTCACATCATGCTTTGGCACTGGAAGCAGATAACCTTCTCATCTCTCAGGGCGAGTGCTCTCCCTTCCCCAGTCCTTCCATTCACACAGCTGATTGTACTTTAAACAAAACTATAGTTTTTGAAACAGTCTTTGAAATTCTGGAAATAACTCTAAAGATTTGAGAAGAAAAATTGTTCCCCCAAGACTACGATATTAACTCACAACATATTGTACAAGTGTTAAAGCTCTTCTATAGGAAAAGATTTGCTTTCTCCATAGCGTTGTTTTAATCTTCCATCTAATGCTAAAAACATACCTTCTTCCTCATGAGGTTGTCACTTCTTTCAGGATTGAAACGATTTCATTAATCTGTTGGCAGCCAAAGTATCAACCAATCCAGGGGCAGGAGGCCAGGGAAGAGGGGGACCGGCCTCATTTCTGATTGGCTGTGTCCACGATTATTTCTCCAGGATCAACGTGAAATACTGACCTTCCCCAGACCGCCTCCACCGTCCGTCACCACCTTCCACCCACCACCAATGCCAGATTCTCAGGTGTGCACCACAACACTGATTTAGCTTGGTCCTTCTGTTGAAGGCACAAATGAAAATACTCAGGGAAGTCATGAGCTTTGACTCTCAGCACATGGACGGCTGTGACTCAATTCTCTACCTGATTTTTCTTAGATTCAGCAACGATGCCCAGGTTTCTGCAATCACCAGCTCCTGGATGGCAGCTGGTTGGTCCACACCTCACAGCAAACAGAGAGGCTGGTGATGAGTCGTGCAAGCAAACCTGGGAAATCTGAGGCTCTGTTGGAACTTGCGGAAATCCTCAGGGATTTGTCCTTTCCGCAAGTCTATAAAATACAATGGGATGCATTATAATCTCCAGATTCCCAGCCTCAACTCAGGAGAACTCTGAGAAGAGTTTCTTTCCATCTTTAATTTATAAAATATGTTTATCTCACGTGTCGAGAGCCAGGTGTTGCAGCAGGAGCAGAAGATATTAAGATCCTCCACTTTGGAGGGACACCCTAAATGAGGGGTCAGTGCCATAATAACAGGCACTGCAGGATGCATGGAGACCCCATGGGGAAATACTGACTTAGATGAGGGGCCAGGATTGTCACTCACTGGTGCAACTGCAAGCAGTTCAAGGTGGCGGTTCACCGAAGGGGAGGGTGGAGGACAGCTAGGGGCCTGATCAGGAAGGGCCTTGCATGCCACTTTATTCTGATCTGACCAGAACCACCTAAGAGTTGGCATGCAAAGAGAAGTGATGGAGTGAGGAAGCCACGGACCCAGCAAGCTATGCAAAGTCAAAGAACAGGTTTGTTGGCTGCTTGGATGCAGGCAGAAAACCACAGTGGTCAGTCCTGGAGGCATTTCAGGGTGCTACTTGCAGATGTTTGGGTGAGGCTGTCAGTCACCAAATAAGGAATACTGGGTGGGGCACGATGCCTCACACCTGTAATCCCAGCACTTTGGGAGGCCGAGGCAGGAGGATCACCTAAGGTCAGAAGTTCGAGACCAGACTGACGAAGATGGAGAAACCCTGTCTCTACTAAAAATACAAAAGTAGCCAGGTGTGCTGGTGCATGCCTGTAATCCCAGCAACTCGGGGGGCTGAGGCAAGAGAATTGCTTGAACCTGGGAGGCAGAGGTTGCAGTGAGCCAAGATGGTGCTCCAGGCAACAGGAGCAAAACTCTGTTTCAAAAAAAAGAACACTGGAAACAGGAGTGGTTGGGAGTGAGGATGAGGAGTGCAGGGTGGCTGTGTTGTGCGTGGATGCCCGTGGGATGGCCAGAGTGGAGATGTCCAGTGGCCTTTTCACTACAGCTTCGAGGGGAGCAGTACATCAGAGAATACAATTTGGGGACCTGCTGGTCTTCAGGCAGCCATGGGAAAGGATGTGACAACCCAGAAAGAAAAGGACAGAAGGAGGAAGAGGATGGGATTCCAGGAGAACCCAGTTTAAGAGACAAGCAATGTTTAAGTGGCACCCAGGGCAAAATGGAGAGTGGAGTGTATTACTAGGACTTCAGAATGTGGTCTTGGCTGGGCCGACAGCATCACTTAGTGCTTCAGGATAGCATTTGTGACTCACTTACCTTCTCTATTGGGAAAACTCACAAAAGCAGCTGTCACCCAGTAAACCTTAGAGCCATTCAAGCCTCTGTTTTCCTTGTTCCCAAACAACCTTAACTCTGGTTCTTGATGTGATACTCACTTGCTAACCAGGGGAGAGGCATTCTAGA